CCCGCCACCTTAGGTGTACGTGGCTGGCGCCTTAGCCGGTTGAGCTATAGGCGCCGAGCCCATAGTATGCTTTTAAGTACTGAGATACATACTTATTCTCCCCTGTTAGGGCTGTAACAGTTTCTGAAGAAATATAATTTGAGTATAGCCTTCAAGTAATTTATAGCTTCACTGGGGACAGAAGACAAACATTAGTGTATTAATAAATGCTTTTTTTTTGAGACAGAGTCTCACTATATTGCCCTTGTTACAGTGTTGTACCATCACTGCTCACAGCAACCTCCAACTCTTGGGCTTAAACGATTCCCTTACCTCAGTTTGCCAAGTAGCTGGGACTACAGGTGCCTGCCACAATGCCCACTATTTTTGTTGTTGTTGTTGCAGTTGTTGTTTTTAGCAGGCCTGGTCCAGGTTCGAACCTGCCAGCATTGGTGTATGTGGCCAGCACCCTAGTCACTGAGCTATGAGCGCTGCCATGACTATGTTAGTGTTAATAGTGCAGAATAATTGAGAGGATATGTTAAGGAGGTAGTTTAGAGCATATGTCCCTCTGAGCCTGGTAAGAGTTTTTAGAAATCAATTCATGGGGCTCAGCGTCCATAGCTCAGTGGTTAGGGTCCTGGCCACATACACCGGGGCTGGCGGTTTCAAACCTGGCCCAGGCCTATTGAGCAACAATGACAACTACAACAACAACAAAAATAGCTGGATGTTATGGCAAGCACCTGTAGTCCCAGCTTCTTGGGAGGCTGAGGCAAGAGAATCACTTAGTTTGAATCACTTAAGTTTGAGGTTGCTTTGAGCTGTGACACACGATACAAAGGGCAACATAGTGAGACTTTGTCTCAAAGGAAAAAAAAAATCAATTCAGGGCAGATGTTCAACAAACATTTTTGCATCAATGTGCCAGGATTTTGCTAGGTCCTGGTATATAACAAGATTTAAGATACATTTATTTATACAGTTTAATTGAAGGGACTAGATCAGGAAAAGAGCTATTTCAAAACAAGGCTGTGAAGTGGTGAAAACATTCCAGGTAAGACTTCAGTGCTTGAGTGGGAGTAGGAGAATCAAAGCAGGGAGGAAATCTTCTTAGGAGGAAATGTAAGGTGGAGTTTAGAAAGGCATTTACTGGTGTCCTGGGCACCAGGGCATGCAGTCACAGTTTATATCATCGGTCAGAGGCAAAAGTGAAAAATCAGTGTTGTCTTATGAATTCTGACTTAAGTTCTTTGAACTAGATTATATTTAATTATACCTTGACACAAAAGGTGACATGTATTATTTTAAAGATTAATACTATAGGCTCGGCGCCTGTGGCTCAAGTGGCTAAGGCGCCAGCCACATACACCCAAGGTGGTGGGTTTGAATCCAGCCCGGCCCGCCAAACAACAATGACGGCTGCAACCAAAAAATAGCCGGGCGTTGTGGCAGGCACCTGTCAGCTACTTGGGAGGCTGAGGCAGGGGACTCGCTTAAGCCCAGGAGTTGGAGTTACTGTGAGCTGAGATGCCACGGCACTCTACCCCGGGGGACAGCTTGAGGCTCCTGTCTCAAAAAAAAAAGAAAAAAGAAAAGGATGAAAGATTAATACTATAAATTTAACCTCTTCTCTTTTTTAATGCAGCAATTGAGAATGCAGACTTCAATACAGCAAAAAAGGTAAGAAAACAAAGCTATATTGTCTGCTTAAAAATTATATTGAATGTAAACATAGGAGGTATATTTATTCTGCTGGTTAATATTTTAAGAATTACCATAATGAAACATCTTAATAACATTTCTATTTAGAAACACATTTATAACTAATTGCTTTACTGTTTTTTGTGATTTTTATGAAGCGTAAAAATGTGTCTATGTAACTTTTTTTTTTTAACTTTGTAGTTACAAGGACAAATCAAATCCAGTTTCATTTCTGCTGAAAATTATCATACTCTTGGTTGTCTCAATCTTGTGGCTGGAGATTTAGCAAGTGAAATCCCTGTGATAATTGGGGTAATTCTTTTTATAAAATTTTGTTTTTTGTTGCTGCCAGTGTTTCTTCACTCAAACATTATTCTTGGTTAAACAGCAAATTCATGTTAAAAAAAACAGGAATATTATAAAATTAAGGTAATAAGAATAACTCAATAAATAAATTTCTATCTTGGAAGAAATATTACATTTTTATTTCTTTTTTAATTTTTTTTAAGACAGAGCCTCAAGCTGTCCCCCTGGGTAGAGTGCTGTGGCATCACAGCTCACAGCAACCTCTAACTCCTGGGCTCAAGTGAGTCTTCTGCCTCAGCCTCCCAAGTAGCTGGGACCACAGGCACCCACCACAATGCCCGGCTATTTTTTGGTTGCCGCTGTCATTATTGTTTGACGGGCCCGGGCTGGATTTGAAACTGCCAGCTCAGATGTATGTGGCTGGCACCTTAGCCTGCATTTTTATTTCCATTAGTCTTCACCTTAAATATAATTTCTTTCAGTTATGACAGTAGGCAAAAACAATTAAAAGACAAAAAAATTCCATAGTTATAACAGTATCTATGACTCTGTCACTAAATTTTTTTTTAAAAAATCACTTTATTGGTGCAGGTGGCTCAAAGGAGCAGGGCGTTGGTCCCATATGCTGGAGGTGGTGGGTTCAAACGCAGCCCCGGCCAAAAACTGCAAAAAAAAAAAAAAAAAATCACTTTATTACAGGTATCTTGAAATACTGGTTACAAGTCACTACTTCAAAATCATAGTGATTATAGTATATTTAGCACAAAGTATAATTATTATTGGTGACATATTCATGGGTACTGCTGATTCTTTTGTTTTGGGGGGGTTTGTTGCCTATGATCATAAGTGAAAAAATTAAGTTTCAGATAGATATTAGTGAAAATAAACATGCAAATTTTTTTCCCATCTAGGTTCACTGATCTCTTGAATCTTAGATTAGCTAGGTTAAGAACCTCAATATTAGGCTGGGCGTGGTGGCTCTCAGCCTAACACTCTGGGAGACTGAGGCAGGTGGATAACTTGAGCTCATAGGTTCAAGACCAGTCTGAGCCAGAGTGAGACCCCCTACACACACATTGTCTCCAAAAATAGCCAGGCATTATGGCAGGCACCTGTAGTTCCAGCTACTTGGGAGGCTGAGGCAAGATAATTGCTTGAGCTCAAGAGTTTGAAGTTGCTGTGAGCTATGATGTGAGAGCTCTCTACTGGGGTGACACAGTGACAGTCTGTCTCAAAAAAAAAAAAAGAACCTCAACGTTAGAGAATGATCCTGAAGAGTAAAAAAATCTTTAATCCCTACATAAGTGATTTTGCATTATTCTTAGTCTTGGGTAACTAGGATACTTGCAAGTATGTAAAATAGGAAACCAGATGTTTCCAGAAAAGCACAACTGATTCACCACTACAACTATATAATGTCTCATGTTATATGGGAAAAGTAATAATTTTTTTATTTATATGTCAATTCCATTATGTCTTATCATAATGTCTTAGAATTGGGGGGGTGAAACATCTAATATTGCAAGGCAGAGGCAAAAATTCAATATAACATTTATAACATTTTTATTTGCTAAATTTATATTTATATTAGGAAGCAGTCATATTTCCACATTACATGTATCTATTTTAATATTTTGCCAGGATTTTGTCTAATTTAAAATTAACATTTATACTTTTTCCAAATATTTATGGTTATTTTAATGAAAATACTTAATCAAAGACTATATTTAGGTCTTAAAGTTTACTGTGTATCTCTAGGGTAGGTTGCCAGAATACGCCTACTCTTTTTTAAATATTCATATGACAACAATAAATATCAATAGGTTACTTTTTTTCACTCTCTTCTAAAACTAAGGGAAGAACTGGTAGATAAAAGCTAGTTGGGTTTGAGTATGTAAATCTACTTTGAAATTAGTGATGTGCACAACTTAACTTGTTTCTACTTTGAGGTGTGGTTTTATTTTCACTTTTTTAGGGAACTGGTAATTGTGCATTCTCAAAATGGGAACCGGATTCTTCCAGGAAAGAAATGACAGTTAAGAACCTTATTGATGCAGAAATTATTAAAGGTAAAATAAGTTAATGAAATTACTTTTGGTAATTATTAGTTTTAATTTTCCTATCTGAATGCTTGGGCCAGCATGTAGGCCATTTTACCAGACCACTCTTCACTCTTTGCAATAAGCCAGATTAGTTTGATGGTTGTTCACATACATGACTGTTCCTGACATGCTGCAGTTGTTACTATTTATTTTAAGAGATTTTATATTTTAGTGGTTGCCTTTAAAAAAAAAAAAAAGGCAGGAATGAATGAAAATGGAAACTATTGCTGGGCCCAGTGGCTCTGGCCTATAATCCTCGTGTATTGTTTGAGCCCAGGAGTTCGAGACCAGCCTGAGCAAGAGTCAGACCCCCAATCTCTACTCAAAATGAAAATACTGAGGCAGGAGGATATTTTGAGCCCAAGAGTTTGAGGTTGCTGTGAGCTAGAAGGCCATGGCACTCTATTAATGGACACAAGTGAGACTCTGTCTCAAAAAATAAAAACAAAGGCTTGGCGCCTATGGCTCAACCAGCTAAGGCGCCAGCCACGTACACCTAAGGTGGCGGGTTCGAATCCCCAGCCCGGACCCGCCAAACAACAATGACAGCTGCAACCAAAAAATAGCCGGGCGTTGTGGCGGGCGCCTGTGGTCCCAGCTACTTGGGAGGCGGAGGCAGGAGACTCACTTGAGCCCAGGAGTTGGAGGTTGCTGTGAGCTGTAATGCCATGGCACTCTACCCAGGGGGACAGCTTGGGGCTCTGTCTCAAAAAAACAAAACAAAACAAAACAAAAAACAAAAATATGGGAACTATTAATTTAAATGTACCTTTCTATAAATATTTTAGTTTACTATTTAAATATGGATATAGGAAACACTGAAATTAAATCTTTAGACTTTATTTTCTCTTTTATAGGTGCAAAGAAGTTCCAGCTCATAGACAATCTGCTGTTTGTTCTTGATACCAACGTATGTTTCTGCTATTTCCCTTTTAATGTTTTCATTTGATACTATGTTTACCAATAAAAATTGTGTCCAGCTTACAAAGGCAAGGGCTTTGGCTGAAGTGGATTACTATCTTGTATACTATTCTTTATTTCAATATATATATCAAAAAAGAGATCCTAAAATGTAAAGTTTTAATTATTAAGAAGATGTGTAAATGAAATATCTCTTTTGCAGAATGTGCTGAGTTTATGGGATATTTACAATCTAACTCCTATATGGAACTGGCCCTCTCTTCACATAGAAGAGTTTCTTCTTACTACAGAAGCAGATTCTCCTTCATCAGTCACATGGTACCGTATGAATATAGCTAGTAGTAATTTCCCTTCTCTTACCACCAGGTTTCTTGTCTGTTCTTTGTTCAAATCATTCATTATGTTTTACATTTTTTTTTTTTTTTTTTGAGACAGAGTCTCACTTTTGTCACCCTCAGTAGAGTGCATCATAGCTCACAGCAACTTCAAATTCTCTGGCTTAAGTGATTCTCTTGCTTGGCCTCCTGAGTATTTGGGACTACAGGCACCCGCCACAACACCCAGCTAATGTTTTGCATTCTAAATAAAACAGTGAAACGGTCTCATGGTTTAAGGATTGATTCATTGTTTGTCTCATGGTGTAAGGATTGATTGATTGTTTGCCAAATTCATTGGTAACAAATAGGCAAGTATAGGCTGAACATGGTGGCATGTACTCCCTAGTACTTTGGGAGGCCAAGGCTGGTGGATTGCCTGCGCTCAGGAATTTAAGACCAGCCTGAACCAGAGTGAGACCCCAACTCTAAAAATTGCCAGGTGTTGTGGTGGGCACCTGTAATCCCAGCTTTTTGGGAGGTTGAGGCAAGAGAATCACTTAAGCCCAAGAATGTGAGGCTGTTGTGAGCTGTGACAGCACGGCACTCTACTAAGGGTGACAAAGTGAGACTATCCCAAAAAAACAAAAAACAAAACAGAATACAAATAGGCAGGCGGTGGCTGTAGCTCAGTAGGTAGGACGCTGGCCGCATACACTGAAGCTGGCAGGTTTGAACCTGGCCCGAGACTACTAAACAACAATGTCAACCACAACAAGAAAATAGTCGAATGTTGTGGCAGGTGCCTATAGTCCCAGCTACTTAGGAGGCTGAGGCAAGAGAATCACTTAAGCCCAAGTGTTTGA